ATGATGATTAGTGTCAAGCCATCTGACCGTATCCTCTTGTTGATTGGGAGAAGGTATCATAATATTTTGCAGCTGGGGATATCGTTGAATCCATTCAACCGGCCAATCATTGCCAAACCTTTGCATTAGATCATATACCATTTATGAATCTGTAGGACAGCAAGTGAATAAGGGGACCAAAATCACTCCACGTGTCTTCCCAAGCGTGCGTAGATATACCATTACCCACATTTGAAAGGAAAAATCGTCTGCAATGTGGTCTTAACTCTAAAAGGTTCCGGACAAGCCACGACCATTCATTCCTCTTCTTTATGATCCAAAAATTTCTTCCCCGAATACAATGATAATGAATCCAAGAGACCCACATGGTATTTCTTCTAGTAAGAATGTCCCAAATATGTTTACAAAGAAAACACCGATTCCAAAGAGCAAGTCTTTTCATACCCAGTCCTCCATTTTTTATAGGTAAACAAACCCTATCCCAAGATACTCGACATTTTTCCATCTCACCCTCCTCTTTATTCCAAAAAAAATTACGGAACAATTGTTCAATTTCATGGATTGTGGCTGCCGGTACTAGAAATACCGACATCCAAAAAGTTTGCATAGAGTGAAGAACAGAGATGATGAGCTGACGTCTACCCCCATAAGAAAGAAATTTGTTTTTCCAATTCAACAAGCGAGATTTAAGTTTAATCACAAGAGGGTTGAAGTCACGTACCTTTAATCTAACTGGAGAGAGAGGAACTCCAAGGTAGTGAATAGGAAATACCCCCGGACGAAAAGGAAGGCAGTTGCGAATGATATTTTGAACATCCAACCCGACATTCCCGAAAAACACTTCACCTTTTTCAAGACTCGGTGACAAACCTGAACGTTCCTCAAACATTTGGAGAGCTTGTTTTATCACCTCAACTGAAGTAGCATCCCCCCGAGAAAAAATAAAAAGATCATCCGCAAAACATAAATGGGTCAGCTTGATATCATCACATCCTTGATGGTACGCAAAATTCACCTCTTCATCAATACATTTTTTTTAAAATCATCGACAATCCTTACATAACCACCGTGAACAAGTACGGAGATAATGGATCCCCTTGTCGAAGTCCTCGCTTGCCATGAAAGAAACCCTCCGACTGTCCATTAACACAAATAGAGAAAGTTGGCTATGAGATTAGAGACTTTATCCAATTAAGCGTAACTGGATGAAATCCCATTCCCTTTAGCATCCCAAGAAGATACTGCCAGTCAACAGTATCATAAGCTTTCCGTATATCAATCTTAAACGCACATTTTGGCTCCCCCTGTAGTTTCTGATAATCTGCGACAAGCTCATGCGCCATTAGAATATTATCAGTTATCTGACGTTCAGGAATGAACGCAGATTGAGCCTTGCTAATAAGTACATCCAATGAGCCTTTCATCCTATTAGCAATAATTTTACTGATACATTTGAGCAACACATTACACATGAAGCGTTTGGAACCTTCGGAACAAGGCAAAGCAGAGTATGATTCAACTGGTACACTAAATTTCCTGAGTATAAGAAATTATGTACCGCAATAAGCACATCCCTACCAACCACACTCCAAGCCGCCTTAAAGAACTTTGACGAGAACCCATCAGAACCTGGAGCCTTGTCATTCCCAATATCAAAAAGAGCATTCGTATATCCATATCCGTAATAGGTCTGATTAAATGCAGAGAGTCCGATAAAGCTAAAGAGTGAGCAAACGAACAATCCGCCATAGAAGGATGAACCAGCGTATTTGAAGAACCCAGAATACCTTCGAAATGATTCACAAATGCTTTTGGAACATCATGATGTTCAAAAACAGTACCAAAAGAATACTTAATAGTAGCAATATGGCTCCTATTGCGCTTCTCTCTCATGGCATGAAAGAAGAACTTTGAGTTACCATCCCCTTCATCTAACCAAGAAATCTTTGCTTTTTGTCGAACCATTTCCAATTGATCATTCCTAGGTTTTTGATATGCTAACAAGAGGTGAGCAATGTCCTCTTTAAGCATATCATAAAACGGATCTAGATCACAAGCCAATTGAGCAACATCAAGTTCCGTCTTTAACTGAGTAAAAGCATTGAATTTTCCAATATCCCCCCAAAGATCCCTCCTTTCCACTCCCGTATTACAACCATAAACAAAAGTAATAAATATAGGCTCAGGATGACCAATAATCCAAATTTCACAATGTACATATTGTAAATGTTGCTCAATCATTATCAAGGACAAAACAGACGGGTCCCATGCAATAATAATACGAGTTCCTTGATCACACATTAACCCATTTGTGATCCAGCTCCACCTACCAAACACTCTACCACACACTTCTCCCATATGTCTTTGTAAAACTTTAGACTCAATGATGCAACATAAAGAAAGACTCTTTACATGAATAAGATCACGTACCTCTTTTTGCTTTAGGGCATTTAGATCCCTAATATTCCAAGAAGCGAACTTTATCATTGGGAATCTGAAGTGAGTATCTCCCCCCTACTTCTTTCCACAATATGCCCCTCAGTATCAATTATCTCCATATCATCATCATCATCACTAGAGTCATCGGAATCTAATGAGGAAAACCTATTACTCGTAGACATTGAGTTTACAACACCGCGTCTCGACTGAAATGCATGAACCACCGCTTTAACAAATTCCGGACCCTCCTTTGATGGAAGTGGTACCTTCAAATGATCTTCTCTTCCTCTTGGCGTTCTCCYAGCATCCACAGTACAATATTGACTCTCCACATGTCCTACACTTTCCCCAACTAAGACTGCCGAAGCAGTAGTCTTGACAACATCTTTATCCTTTTGAGCCACAACTGGGAAAGGCGGTACCTCACTAACCTGCTTTATGGTACCCACACCAAATAACGTATCAGGAGTCATAGAAACCTCACCTGGAGTAGCTGCCTGGGCGCCAGTACTAGGTCCAGAAGTAGTCTTCGGTCTCCAATGTTTTCTTTTAGGTGTTTTAAAACCATCAATATTTGATGACATTAAATTCTCCTTTTGCTTTCTTATATCCCCTTACATACAAGAAGAAGTTCGATGTCCAAATACTTTGCACTTAGAACATTGGGATGGCACCCAATCTCATTAGCTCCTAAGCGGTTTAATTGGCCTATTTTCTTCATAAGGAGCCTAATTGGGTCAAGATGACACTAAATGGGTCATAGTTAGTCTAACTCGACGTTAATGGGTCAAGATGACACTGAAGGATCCGTAATGGGTCCATTTGGACCTTAATGGATATAATATGGGCCTGTTTCTTTTATTCTAGTCAATTTATTCAAAATGACACTACTAAAAGATGACACTGAAGGATCCGTAATGGGTCCATTTGGACCTTAATGCATATCAGCAAGAGACGCTACGGCAACTTTGGCTTACAAACCAAGCCATAAGAAGACAAAAAAGACAAAGAGAAATGCACCAATAAGTAATAATAAAGCAAGACAAAAAATAAATGGAGCAAAATCCCGCCATCTTCCAAGAACGAAACCCTTTAGCAAACACCTTTTCACGCATCACTGAGAGGTATGAGTTTTTGTCTAGCCTTCCACGCCATTCTTTGAAGAATCTGACTCTTGATCTCAGCCACCACTTTCTCTCCAGCTTGATTATACTTATCAAAAAATTTTATGTTCCTTTCCCGCTGTAACAACCCTCACACTTCCAATTACATATAATTCACATCATCATACTCATAATACTCATAATAGTATTATTACAAAACATGAACTATCAAAATCTATCTTTAATACATATGCACACAAACTATTATCATCATTCAGACTTTTCCCTTGTCTTTATCTTTTAGAGTACGTTGTCCTGCAAAACAGGTTAGTCCAACATCTGAGCGTTAGACCATAAGGTCTAGTGAGTGTATAATCTTATACAAACAATATATATTCCAAACAATCAGTTTAGAATCAAACCTGTTCTGAAACATAATATTTTTATGTTTCTC